TAAACAGAAACTTGGTAGGCCTGTCATGCAAACATGTTTCATGATCATATTCTATAATGTAAACAGAAACTTGGTAGGCCTGTCATGATCATATTCTATAATGTAAACAGAAACCTGGTAGGCCTGCCATGCAAACATGTTTCATCATCATGTTCTATAATGTAAACACCACATGCTAGGCTCATCATGCATATATATTTCATGCTCTATAGTGTAAACATGAAATGGTAGGCCTATTATGCATATTATTTCATGGTCATGCTCCATAGTGGGAGCCAAACATGGTAGGTCTATTGGTATTATACAAATATGTTTCATGGTCAGAGTCTAATATGCAAACAAACATGATGGGGCGAATATGCATAGATATTTTGTAACCATGTTACTAATTTTAAGTTGCCATATTAGTACTGGGCAAGGGAATCAGGGATAGGCACATTCACTAGTGTCCAGGAGGTATTTGGGTCTTCAGGCTTTTTCACCTCAAGCACAAGGCCAATACTGTTAATTCTTACCCTGGTATACAGGCCCTTTTCCTTTCTTAATTCATATGCTTTTTTGTTGAGGAGTGATCTGATCTTTTTCATAGATATCGGGAGGTCTGTTTGTACATTCATATTTAAGCCATACACAGCTCTCCTGGCATTGAACACCTCAATCCTGTCTTTAATCGACATGAAGGCTGCAATGATAGTTGGTGGCCTTTCCGTTTCACCCAACTTTTCCGAATATCACGGGCCTGGCAGTCGATGGACATCTTTGAATTTCACATTGTCCACATATTCTTCTGATAGTTTGATACTGTCAATCATAAACTGCCTCAGAACTGTTTCACCATCTTCTTGTTGATGTTTTTTGGTATTCTGTTAAACAGTAAGTTTATTTTTCTATCATGCAGCTCTTTTCTTATGGCCTCATGACAGAGCATACCTATCTCAAGCGTAAAATCTGCTCTCAAAGTACTGAGCTCTTCTCTCACCTGCTCCACGTCCTCGCTGTAATGTTCCGTACCTCTTTCTGCGACATCTACTATTGTTTTCAGGTTGGATACTTCTATTTCAATCTTATCGATGGCGCTCTGCAGTGTGGTGTTGATGTTGTCTATTTTGAGCGATATATTTTGCTCAGATTGGAGAATAAGTTCTTTTATTTCCTCCAGATCAGTTGATCTTCGTGACATTGTGTACCCAGTTTTCGTAAATGTGTAGATGTAGTCAAAAATGTCCTCACAAGGTAAGGTAACTGCACAGATTTGTATTTTTGGTGAAACCCTAGTGTCTTTTACATATAACTTTTCATTCTTTACCTTATATTTGACTCAGTTTTGGGCGATGAGCTTGGATTTTCCGCATCATGATCGAGAGCTCGAGTTTAACACGTCTCGGCTTCATGGTGACCTTGACCTTGACCTGTCAATGGCGCCATAATCTCCCACCTACAGGGGTCCCAGTTGTTGGCGTCCGCCGTAACAATACTTTACCTTGTGGACTGCCACGGTCACGACGTCCGGCCCGGAGGGATTGTCTTTGCCTTGGGTTCTGCCCAGAAAAGCCAAGGTGTCACATCCTCACGGCTTGAAGGAGTTCCTCTTGGGTTGATAACTGCCCGATCTTGAGGGCTTGGGAGCATTGGTGTGAGACACTCGGGCCAAGGCCTTGGGAGTAGTTTCGTCTCTGGTGAAGTTGGTGACACAAGACTTGGCCATTGAAGAGGGAAACAGAAGACCAAGGTTGGCGAAGCAGATCCCACTCACTCAGCACCAGGTAGCCAAGTTGTGGGGTGGTGGGGAGTTCTGCTAAAGCCGTATGCATATGGGACCTTGTATGGTCAATCTAGGACTGTTGATACGCCATGACGGTGGTCAGGTGGTCGAGCCAGTTGTCCTCTGACAGGTCCTGAATAATAGCTCTCAAGGTGGAGGCCATGACAGAATGAGGCTTAATGGAGCGCCTGATCTCAGTCTATATAAAGGCCAGCCAATAGTCTCCACAGTGTTGGACCCGAGAGCGACAAGGGGATTGGCGTCTAGACTTACTCCCACTCACCTCGAGGTAAGAAAGGCATAGTCATTAGAGGATAAAAACCGTATCATAGAGGCACCACTGGAGGTGCCATCTGAAGCGCTGAAGGTGTCACCGAGGCTGGAGGAGCCAATAAGGTTTGAAGTGCTACATGCACGGAGAGCATGGCAGACGCTGGAGGTGCCAAAGGAGCTGAGAACTGAGGCATGGTCTGCTGAAACATGGACTGCATGACATGAAATCACGTCGGATCAATGTCGGGCCACTGAGGCAGCTGGAGAGGCGCGGGGAGGAATGCCCAGGGTCCGAATCCTAGAGGCAGCGGTCGAGAGCTGGTAAGATGCAGGTAAAGATGAGCTCAGTGTAGTCAGTGCCTGCTAGGCATCGTCATGGATGATGAGGACGTGAATATCAACAACAGCATGGATGACAGTGCCAGTGACGTATCAATGACAGGACGAGAGTGTATCAGTGGAGAGGAGGTGGTGATCGTCACTGAAGAAGAAACAGGTGTAGAGGTGAAGGCAAGAGGGATCCTGCCTGAGTGGGAGAAGGTAGTAGCCGGTGGGGGTTGGTACTCTCGGATGAGTTGGACTTTCTTATGAGACTGAGATGCTGCTTCCTTGCTTGCAGGTATTTGGGGACAGCTGTAGGAGATAGGTGCAGACAATCTTTATACCTAGACAATAAATTGTAATACAAAGCAAAATATTGAACACAGAAAGCATGACACGACAATACATGACCTCAAGGTGAATTCAAAATGGTCAATTAGAACAATATACCTGATATAAACAGTGGTTAACACCACACCAGGTATTAATGTTATGGCATAATCATATTTAAGATGAAGTCACAAATCATAGGTACAATAACAATTCACAAGAATAACAGTTAGTGTTGAAACACTCAAACAATTCACTAGTAGTTGCTGCACCACAATAACAGGTCTTGTCTCTGGGCTTGACAGTAGTAATGTGCTGTTCAGTGATGTCACAACGTCTTCTTCAGCAAGACCTCTCACAAGATCTTTCTCTCGGTCAAGAACAAGCAGTAAATGCATAAAGGAGTAATGCAGGATAAGTAATAAATTGTAAATTTTATTCTTATTCTATATTACTCTATGCATTTCATCCTTCTTCTTTCAATCCCTTGCATGGAAACATCGTTGAACAAAGTTTCCAGCTTCAAAGCTTCATTTGCCCAAATACCCCTGCATTACCATGACGACCACCCCAATTTAGAGATCGCTGGTCCGTGTGTGTCTCTATCGGTGTCTCAGAATGTGAGTGTGAGGAGGGTCGATCTCATTCCATCCGTTGATCCTTATATCGATCTCGATGTCAATAGGAAGGAGCAGCGTATCGATAATATTCCAGCGTCAAGGCATGTTCATGGTAGGGCTGATATCGATGGTCTCCATATTGATCAGTTGTGGGATAAGGATAGTATCTCATAGGTTGGTATCGTGAGATGGAGATCGATGTCGATGCCAGTCAACCTCGCTATTGTAACCAAAGTGTCGAGATCACTGTCGATAGGGATAATGCTGTGAGTCTGAATCCAATGAATGTGATTGGTCGAGGTGACAATGTCGATCTGTAAAATGAGAATGCTTTAGTTCGTGTCCATACAATCAATCTGTAGAGAGGTGACGCTCTGAATCAGAGTAATCTCCTTGTTTCGATATTGAAGTGTGTTCCTGAGACGATCGACCTTCAGGTGGTTGATCTGAATGTCGACCCATAGAGAGTCAACCTGTAGAAAATTGACTCTTATCCGATCGATCTACGACCGGAGGGCGTGTGTTCCTTAGAATGTCGATCCAGAGAATGTCGATCTGAGGAATATCGACCCGCCGAATGTCGACCAGAGGAATGTCGACCCTTGTAGGGTTGATCTTGGTTCTATGTCGACTTCTCTGTAAAATGTCGACCCTTATCTCGGCAAATGTCCTTGGGTCGAGACCGCTCTCTACTCTTTCTCTTTACGGTAGGCGATGTCGACGCCTGGTTTCAGCTAGAGTCCATAGTAGTCGTAGTAGATAATTCCGGTATGGCTTGGTCAATCAGAGTAGAGGTATGGCTGGTTGATGTAGAATTGACTGGTCGCGCTGTAATCTCCAAAGTCGATACATGACTTCCTGCAGATTGGGTCTGAGAAGATAAACATATCTTGGTAGACTGGTCAAAATTTACTGTCAGCACCATATGTTTGTCTGACATATTTGTTGCCTGGAAGTTTGTTGTATAGTCAGTGGATCACTGTGAAGAAAACTTCTGAAACTTCATCATGCAGAAAACTGTCGGAAATGGTATCTTCTTCCACTGACAGTAATCGTGGCTGATGGTGATTGCTTTAACACAGTTTTCATAGTAGGATGACCGCATTAGTTGGGTTCTAATGTGTCCATGTTCAGTATCCTTGGATTTAGATCAACGATCAATCCCTCTCCCTTGGCATTTATTAAGATAGTCTGTAAATGCCTCTTGTGACAAAGACAGCATTCCCAACACTGTAAACCAAGTTAACAGACTCCACGACAATCACAGCATAATTTATGAGGATTCACCGGTGAAAATATGTGGCGGCACTTCATGGAGGCTGGACATTTGGCTTGGTCCTTACCCATATTTATTAACTCAAATATTCTCTAAAACAATAAGTACGTCTCCACAGGGAGGCGAAAAGAAAGAGAATAATGAGGCAGTCAATGGACCAGATTGAGGACAGGGTGCTGCACCAGATCAAGGTGCATGACCTAGATACTGGGATGGTTGTCATGGTGATGCATGGGTGGCTCGGCAAATGAAGCTTAGAAGCTGGAAACTTTGATCAAGGATGTTTCCACCCAAGGGATCGAAAGTAGAAGGTGGAATGCATAGAGTGAGATAGGATAAGTTAAAAAATTGTCATAATATGAAATAGGGGATAAAATAATCAAAGAAGATGGAGGAGGGTGAAGACAAACTGACGTACCTTGGTCGTGGTGAATCCATCATACACTCTATGTGTGGGTTTTTTGAGTACTGGCACACCCAGTGTCAGGCTATCCATCACTCCATACATTCTCACTTGTGGCATCTCACACCCCTTCTCTTGCCTATAAATACACAAATCATAATACATTCAACTGTGTAGTGTTTGATCTATAAAACCCACTAACTACTTTCTGCAGTGTAATGTTTGATCTATATGACCCACTAACTACTTTCAGCAGTGTAGTGTTTAATCTATATGACCCACTAACTACTTTCAGCAGTGTAGTGTTTGATCTATATAACCTACTAACTACTTTCTGCAGTGTAATGTTTGATCTATATGACCCACTAACTACTTTCAGCAGTGTAGTGTTTAATCTATATGACCCACTAACTACTTTAAGCAGTGTAGTGTTTGATCTATATAACCTACTAACTACTTTCAGCAATGTAATGTTGGATCTATATAACCTAACTACTTTCAGCAGTGTAGTGTTTGATCTATATAACCTACTAACTACTTTCAGCAGTGTAATGTTGGATCTATATAACCTACTAACTACTTTCAGCAATGTAATGTTGGATCTATATAACCTAACTACTTTCAGCAATGTAGTGTTTGATCTATATAACCTACTAACTACTTTCAGCAATGTAATGTTGGATCTATATAACCTAACTACTTTCAGCAGTGTAGTGTTTGATCTATATAAACTACTAACTACTTTCAGCAGTGTAGTGTTTGATCTATATAACCTACTAACTACTTTCAGCAGTGTAATGTTTGATCTATATAACCTACTAACTACTTTCAGCAGTGTAGTGTTTGATCTATATAACCTACTAACTACTTTCAGCAGTGTAGTGTTTGATCTATATAACCTACTAACTACTTTCAGCAATGTAATGTTGGATCTATATAACCTACTAACTACTTTCAGCAGTGTAGTGTTTGATCTATATAACCCACTAACTACTTTCAGTAGTGTAAATGTTGGATCTATATAACCTACTAACTACTTTCAGCAGTGTAGTGTTTGATCTATATAACCCACTAACTACTTTCAGCAATGTAATGTTGGATCTATATAACCTACTAACTACTTTCAGCAGTGTAGTGTTTGATCTATATAACCCACTAACTACTTTCAGCAGTGTAATGCTGGATCTATATAACCTAACTACTTTCAGCAGTGTAGTGCTTGATCTATATAACCCACTAACTACTTTCAGCAATGTAGTGTTTGATCTATATGACCCACTAACTACTTTCAGCAGTGTAATGTTTGATCTATATAACCTACTACAGTCCGTTTGACTCCAAATGAGAACGATGAATTGCAAAATAACTCGAAATCCAGAAAAGTGTATGAAACATCAATACGGTACTTGACCATGAATACCCTGTACCCAACAAAATCTGAATTTTGTTTAATTTAAGACCCATGACGAGCTACACAGTGACCGTGTTCATTCAATGACAAGATGCGCTTCTCAGCAGATGTTAAACAGTTGATGTTGAATGTGTATGATTTCTTTAGAAGTGAAGCAGAAAGAGCAAAGCCATTTTATGCAATTAATAAATTCTTGAAACAAGCTTCAAAAGCTCTTGGTATGTCCCCTCAGAAACTTAAAAATGTTGTTAGTCAACGAGATACAAATAGTCAGGCCAAGGAGGTAGGGAACATGTCAAAACCACGCAAGGTTGATCAGGGTCACGCTGTCTTACGACTGCCACCTTATCACTGTGACCTGAATCCAATCGAGTTGGTATGGGGCATCGTCAAGGGTGATGTTGGACGATCGAACACAACGTTCAAATTACGAGAAGTTGAACAACTCGTAAAGGAATCCGTTGGTCGGGTAACAGTAGAAACATGGAGGCGTTGTGTTGCCACAGTCGTTGACGAGATAGAGCCACGTTATTGGTTACAAGATGGACTACGGCCAGCAACTGTCCAACCTATAATAGTGGCAGTCGGTTCAGGCACCAGCAGTTCCGACGACGAGATCTATGGCATGAGCGAGTCAGATTGCCACTGAAATTATCATGAGACTGCCCCTCTAACGCTCTGTCACTTCCCCTACCCCAGAACGTGCAGTACATGCGTGCTTGCGCTGTGCCTTCCACGGTTTGTCCCCCCTACGTGTCATGTACACATTTCTATACAAAATTACATGATAGTTTCATGGGTCTTAAAATGAACAAAATTCAGATTTTGTTGGGTACAGGGTATTCATGGTCAAGTACCGTATTGATGTTTCATACACTTTTCTGAATTTCGAGTTATTTTGCAATTCATCGTTCATCAAACGGACTGTAACTACTTTCAGCAGTGTAGTGTTTGATCTATATAAACTACTAACTACTTTCAGCAGTGTAGTGTATGATGTATATGACCCACTAACTACTTTCAGCAGTGTAGTGTTTGATCTATATGACCCACTAACTACTTTTAGCAGTGTAGTATATGATGTATATGACCCACTGTTTGTTGTTTAATGACCCACTGACTACTTTCAGCAGTTTAGTGTTTAATGTATATGACCAAACAGGATTGGCATTCAGCAATTTTCGGAAGCTCTCAAATGTATCATTATTCATTATTTAAAATGTCATTTTGAGTTGAACCATATATATCTGCTGTAGCTGTTGGTAAATTTAGATCGGCAATAGCTCGTTTTCGTTGCAGTTCGCATTCCTTATATATTGAAACGGGAAGATATAACAATGTACCAGGATTTGTAAATTATGTAATATTGGTTATGTGGAAAATGAATACCACTTTTTGTTAATTTGCAAAGCCTATGATACTTTATGTCCATCCTACCCTGGATAAATTTAATATGCTAATGTCTGACTGTAACAAAACTACAATTTGAAATACCGCAATGTATTAATATTATGCCTTTATCTACCGTGAGTCAATAATTAATTCTGTGGACCAATATATGTACCATGGGCCGTTGGCCTAAACATGTACGAAATAAAGAAACTGAGACCCACTAACTACTTTCTTCTGTGGAGTGTTTGATCTATGTGAAACAAACTAAAATGTTATTTTCTTAATAAAACATCTTTAAACAATCTCATGACATGGTCTGTCTAAAGTGATGCTGATTCCAAAGTGAAATGGACAATGTGCTAAAATGTGACATTCGTGTTACAATATCAATGCATTGGCAGTGTCATATATCAGCCATTTTTGTTTTGGACTGCATACTTTTGAGTGTGCAAGTTATACGCTTTCAATGAATGATTGTTCATTGGAATACTCCCTTGAAAATTCAGTTCTTGTAAGCTTGTGAAATAGAATTGACTAAAGGAAGATGTGACATTAAGAAGGTTTCCCTGCCATTTAAGACTGTAAATACAAACAGTTGCACCGATTTCCAAGGATTGTCGTTAAGTTTACCGCAGCACGATAACTAAGTTATGGAAGTAGTGTCCCTTTAACTATAACATTACAAGGTGATGTAGAATATTACATTGTCTATCTGATGGTGTACATTTAACTGCATATATGATGCAAGTTTGAAAAAAAGACAATGCCAAGTGTTCAGTTTTTGGTAACCTTTTTTTTAGCATACACCAATATATGTATTGTGTGACAAATCTTTCTATTTAACAGTTTCATTCGATGCATACGAAAAAAGGCTTGCCATAAATGAAAAAGATTGATTTTCCTCTATCACATCCAAAGAGTCTGAACATACACACACACAAAGAAACAAGTATTTGTCACAGAAGTGATGAAATGTCCCCCGCCTGTATATACACCAAAATACCAAATATGAAGACAATCCAGCGATTAGTTCTTGAGATATCGCGGCAACACCGTTTTCCAACTCCAAAAGCAGATTTGCCTGCTGTGACCTTGAAAATAGGGTCAAGGTCACCAAAACCGACTGGTGTCTGCGGTGTCAGTATATACACCATAGTTCCAAATATTAAGACAATCCTGCGATTAGTTCTTGAGATATCGAGGCAACACCGTTTTCCAACTCCAAAAGCAGATTTACCTGCTGTGACCTTGAAAATGGGGTCAAGGTCACCAAAACCGACTGGTGTCTGCGGAGTCTGTATATACACCATAGTTCCAAATATGAAAACAATCCAGTGTTTAGTTCTTGAGATATCGCGGCAACTCTGTTTTCAAACTCCAAAAGCAGATTTGCGTGCTGTGACCTTGAAAATGGGGTCAAGGTCACCAAAACCGACTGGTGTCTGCGGTGTCTGTATATATACCATAGTTCCAAACATGAAGACAATCCTGCGATTAGTTCTTGAGATATCGCGGCAACACCGTTTTCCAACTCCAAAAGCAGATTTACCTGCTGTGACCTTGAAAATGGGGTCAAGGTCACCAAAACCGACTGGTGTCTGCGGAGTCTGTATATACACCATAGTTCCAAATATGAAGACAATCCAGTGTTTAGTTCTTGAGATATCGCGGCAACAAACAGGTGGGACGTACGTACGGACGGTCGTGAATACTATATCCCCCGCTTCGTGCTTTCGCGCGGCGGGGGACAAAAAGGGCATAACTCGTCTACGCTTAGTTCACTGTAACTCAGTGACTTATATGTTGGGACAAGATATATTCAAATTCTTTTGCTAATGAGGAACCAAACTATTCCAACACAAACAACACTGAAATCTGTCAACAAATGCACTTGTCAGGCATCATATTCACATAAATCAATCATTATTACTCAAAAGAGTATTTCAAAATATACAAATTGTAAATTTTACAATAAATTGTATATCTATGAATACTTATCCTATCTCAGACTATGCATTTCCCTTCCTTCTCGATCCTTGTGGACAGACAATCCTCAAACAAGTCTCCATCTTAAGAAAAACATCACACCCCAACACATCCCAGCTGTCTCCATGACTACCATCACTGACGATGGGTTGCTTCCCACTCAATGAGATCATGTGACGTCTCAAGCTCACTCATTCTCTTTCTAATCATCTTACTGTGGAGACGTTTCTTGACTGAAACACAAACTTGATTGACTACGTCTGGTAACCCTCCCCGTAGACGAGAGAGCAAATCATCCCTGCCCGGTCAGTTCAGGACAAGTTCTTCAAGAATGCCCACATACTTACAGT